CATAGCCCCTGCCAACTCCCCACTACAGTATCCCCTGCAGGGTGTGGAGGCTCCACCGCTCAGGAGCATCTTGGTGCCAGGTGAGGAAGCAGGGTCCTAGGGGATGGCCTAGGCCATCATGGGGATGGCAGAGCTAGCTGATGAATGGAAAAGAGGGAAGAGTGGTTTGAGAGGGATGACCTCTGATGAAAGGGTGTGTGGAGTGTATAGGGGGAGATTAGAAGGGGGAAAAAAAGTGGAAGAAACTCTAGGGTTATCAGGAATTGCAGAAGATAGAAACTGGGGAGACTGGGGGGGGAGAATTTTTTTCTTTGCTGACTGAATAAAAGATAGCTAGCTAGTACAGACCATTGAAGAAGAAATGGACTAAAAAAATCAATCACTGTAGTCTATGTTAGGCAATATGCGGTTGAAGACTGGATAGGAGGTACAGATTTCTGTGTGGTGTGTAGTGAAAGGAGAGATAAAAATCAGGTAGAAGAAATCAGGGCTGTCTTTGTAATCCTGATCCCATTCTTTCTCCCAGGGCTGAGCCTGCAGGCAGCTTCAGGTCAGGAGTTATACCAGGTGAGGGAAAACAAGAGAGGAAAGAGTAGGTGGGCCTGGAGAAAGCTGGGAGGGAGACGAGACCACAAGGAAAAGGAATGGGGGAATCGGGAAGGCAAGCTGTGAATTTGTAGCCTGATCTCCGTGCTCTCCGATCCCCTGTGCCAGGTGAACCTGTCTGCCTCACTGGGCACCTGGGACGTGGCAGGGGAAGTGAGTGGGGTGACTATCACCGGAGAGGGGCAGCCAGATCTCACTCTTGCCAGCTCAGGGTTGGACCAGCTGAACCGACAGCTGCAGCTGGTCACTTACAGCAGCCGGAGCTACCAGGCCAACACAGCAGACACAGGTGCGAGGCCTGGACTGAGGTAGGGACGGGCTGGATGAACCAAAAGAATCCAGAAAAGCTGCAACGGGCAAATGGCAAAGGGCACGGGAGGTAGTTGGGCAACAGGCAGAGCTGCCCAGCCACACAACGGATGTTTCAGTTGGGCCAGAAGGGCCAGGGAGGGGGAAAAGGAGCCTTTGTTCATCCTGGGGCCACAGCAGGCTCGGGGGAAACTGGAGCCTTGGGTGTGTCCCCACTTCTGGCCAATCATGGGGGGGAGGGCCCAGGAAATGACCTCATCAGGAGCCAGAAGTCTTAAGCTCTATTCCTAATCCACCCCTTGTGACAGAGTAAACGGCCTTACCTTCTTGAATCCTTATTTCTCCTCTGACAAAAAGAACATAGCATAATCCTGAGGCTTCTCTTCAAATGTGGAGTGTTTGCTCCCCCTTAGGGCCTCCCTCTGCTCTGGGAAAGCTCTTACCCTAGATGTTTTGCCTGGCGGCTCCATCTTGTCATTTAGATATGAACTCAAATCTCTTAACCATTACATTACTTGCTTTAATCTTTCATTGACTGTCACCTACTCTTGAATTTCCTTATTTACTTAGCCTGAGAACAGGTTCCTCTGAGCATTGTTTGATGCTGGGTAAATATGGGCAAGTTCCTTTTCTGTGTCTTCCACTTCATTTTCTCTGGTAGAAATGTGATGGGGGCTATCATCAGGAGTGAATGAATTCCAAAACTGTCTAGCCCATAGTAAATGCTCATTCATGGACTTCTATTCCACAGTTAAGACTGTCAATTCCATGGGCCTAAGAACCTTGTATTCATGTCCACTTTGGCTTACAAAGGTGGAACACAGAGCAGGCACTTACCGATTGATCAAAAAGAAAAAAAAAAGAGTGCTGTTCCACCCTTGAAGGCACAGCCCCATGTCCTGTATTCCCAGTTCGGTTCTCCACCGCGGGACATGAGGCTGCCTTCACCATCCGCATAAGACATCCCCCAAACCCTCGGCTGTACCCGTCTGGGTCTCCACCCCAGGGAGGTGAGGCGGTGAGGATGGAAAGTAGCCCTGGAGGAGGGAGGAATGAATGGGCGGCCCTGGGGATGGGGGGGGGGAGATGTCTTCCTGTTTCTCTTTTCCCACTCTCCCCCCGCCCACCTACATCCTGCGCCTCATTTCAGCCCAGTACAACATCAGTGCTCTGGTCACTATTGCCACCAAGACCTTCCTTCGCTATGATCGTCTCCGTGCACTCATCGCCAGCATTCGCCGCTTCTACCCCACCGTCACCGTGGTCATCGCCGACGACAGCGACAAGCCGGAGCGCGTCAGCGGCCCCCACGTAGAACACTATCTCATGCCCTTCGGCAAGGTGCGCAGACAGCCCGGCTGAGCTGGGCGATCGGGGACTGGGGGCGATGGGGTGTGTCCTTAATCCGCGCCACCAGCGCAATCTGCTTCAAAACCCATCCTTGGAACGCACTCAGAGACCCAGAGGGGTCCACGGGTTCTTGCGAGAGGAGTCGGAGAAGAGGAAGGCGGCGTTCACAGCCTCCCCTCCCCGCCTGGCCCTCTCCCCCCAGGGCTGGTTCGCCGGGAGGAACCTGGCAGTGTCTCAAGTCACAACCAAATACGTGCTGTGGGTGGACGACGACTTCATCTTCACGGCGCGCACGCGGCTGGAGAGGCTGGTGGATGTGCTGGAGCGGACGCCGCTGGACCTGGTAGGGAGGCCCGCGAGTTTTGGGCTGGAGGAAGGGCCTTGAACGACCGGCTCAAGCCAAAGACCAGAGCTGCAATCCACGCGAGGAGACGGGGACGGGGTGGGGTGGGAGGGGCTGTCTGGATCCTGCGGGAGGGGGGGACAATGGGGCCGGGAACCAGCGGAGGCGCAGGGAGCACTGTGGACCCTCTTGGGGTGCTCAGGCTGCACCTGGAACCCCGTCCCCGTCCCCTTCCCCGCAGGTGGGAGGCGCCGTGCGCGAGATCTCCGGCTTCGCCACCACTTACCGGCAGCTGCTGAGCGTGGAGCCCGGAGCCCCAGGCCTCGGGAATTGTTTCCGGCAAAAGCGCGGCTTCCACCACGAGCTGGTGGGCTTCCCAGGCTGCGTGGTTACCGACGGCGTGGTTAACTTCTTCCTGGCACGCACTGATAAAGTGCGCGAGGTGGGCTTCGACCCGCGCTTCAGCCGAGTGGCACACCTGGGTGAGTGGCGCCCCCTCCCGGCCGGGCCTGGAAGGGCACCCCCGCCGCAGCGCCGTGCTAGACACCTTGCAGACTGGGCCCAGACGGCATGGGCCCCTCCTGCTTGCCCTCGCTGGTCACTGCCACCTGCACCCCCAAGGCAGTTCTGCACGGTGGGCGAGGGGGAGACAGAAATTCACCCTGTCCTAACCAACATGCCAACTTTTTTTTTTTTGGTGCGGGTCCTACGGCTTGAACTCAGGGCCTGGGTACTGTCCTTGCGCTCTGATTTTTCTCGAGGCTGGTGCTCTACTACTTGAGCCACAGAGTCACTTCTGGCCTAATTTCTAAGTAGTTTATTGGAGATAAGAGTCTCACAAGCTTTCCCGCCCAGGCTGGCTTCAAACCCCAATCTTAAGATCTCAGCCTCCTGAGAAGCTAGGATTACCGACATGAGCCACCAACATGCCTTTTAAAACCAATGGCCAGCATCGTGGCTGAATCAGCCTTGAACTTCAGAGCCAGTGTTATACCACAACCACCCCTCCTCCACTCCCAGCGGCTTCCCCTGATTAAGATGACCATTCCCAGAGGGCCCCATACAGCATGTATTGCACCTTTGAGAGTGGGAAGTAGTCCATTTTTTAAAATTAGTATTAATTTTGAAGCAGATGCCATTCTCCACAAGAGTACAGCTGAGCGAGGGAATGGGGTTAATTCAGGTGCCAACATTCTTAGGAATGGTGTCTTTCGCTGGATGCTGGTGGCTCACGCCTGTAATCCTAGCTACTCAGGAGGCTGAGATCTGAGGATTGCAGTTCAAAGCCAGCCAGGGCAGGAAAAGTCTGTGAGACTTCAATAAAACACCAGAAAACTGGAAGTGGTGTGTGGCTCAAGTGGTAGAGTGCTTGCCTTGAGCTGAAGAGCTGAGGGGCAGTGCACTGGTCTAGAGTTCAAGCCCCATAACCAACCAAAAAAAAAGAAAGAAATGGTGTCTTTCTTTGCATCGGCACCCCCCATAGCCTCATTCAGTTCTCCCTTGAGGCTTGTTGGCCTATTCTTCACTGAAGGTTCTCTCTACCCCTAGAATTCTTCCTGGATGGCCTTGGTTCCCTTCGGGTTGGCTCTTGTTCCAACGTCATTGTGGATCATGCATCAAAGTTGAAGCTGCCCTGGGTGTCAAGGGGTGCTGGAGCAGAGACTTATGCCCGCTACCGGTACCCAGGATCGCTGGATGAAAGTCAGGTGGCCAAACACCGCCTGCTCTTCTTCAAACACCGGCTGCAGTGCATGACCGCTGAATGACAGCCACTTGGGGCCTTCCCCTTTTCAGGCTGGACCTGCTTCCTCATCCCTGCCAGGAAAATTTCCAGCAAACCTCTCCACCCTGCGAGCACGCCAGGATTTCCCCGCCCCTTCAGAACCTGATTCCAAGTAGGGGCCTGTCCTGGTGACACCTCTCCTTTTCTGTAAGTGCCCAGGGGCCTGATGGAGCCATAACCTCTTCCACAGCCAGTGCCAAGTTCTCCCCCCCCACACCCCATTCTATGGGGCAGGAAGTGGGGGGTTCACTTTCCAAGTGCCAAAGAGCCCAGGAGGACTCTAAGACCCTGAAGTGAAAACATGCTCCTCTCATCTCCTTGGATCTGGGGGTGGTGGGGGAGCTCCCAATGTGCAATCCCAGGGCCATGTACCCCATCCCCAGCTCTGGATCCAACACTCTGTGCACCAGCTCCAGCCCTCCCCTTCCCAGAGAGCACTGTGACTCTGGAGCTCCAAGGGGCTGGTGAACACATGGTGAAAGCCACTTGTACTTGTGTCTCTGAGGTGCTGTGGGTAGGTGGGTGGGTGGGGGCACTGGGATTTCCCATGCAGACATCCAGACCCACCTCATGGACCCCAGAGGTGTTCCGTTTTTGTTTATTGGTGATGTTAAATATAAGGCTCAGGGACCACAGCCCTCCTCTCACATACATTGCTGGGGCAATCCACACTGACATGATTCGGTCAGACCCACACTGTGCAAATCTTTTGGCCAGTGAGCTCCTGGAGAAGAAGGAAGATAAGTCAGGAATACATTTAGAACCCCTTCCATCACCAATAATTATTCAGGCCTTTGTGGCACACCACCCCTCTGGGACCTTAGTTCTTCAATTCTTTACCCACAGCTTGGCCAGTCTCCTTGACTTGGTCCTAAATCCACTAATCACCTCCTCTTTATTCTTTCCTTCCCCACCCCCCACCTCCCCAGTAGTAGGGCTTAAACTCAGGGCTCCTGCTTAGCTTTCTTTCTTTCTTCCTTCCTTCCTTCCTTTCTTTCTTTCTCCCCCCCCCTCTCTCCCCTCTCTTTCTTCTTTCTTCTTTTTTTTTTGTCAGTCGTGGGGCTTGAACTCTGGGCCTGGGCGCTGTCCCTCAGCTCTTCAGCTCAAGGCGACCGCTCTACCACTTGAGCTACAGCGCCACTTCCGGTTTTCTGGTGGTTTATTGGAGATAGGAGTCTCACGGTCTCTCCTGCCCAGGCTGGCTTTGAACCGAGATCCTCAGATCTCAGCCTCCTGAGTAGCTAGGATTACAGGCGTGAGCCACCAGCGCCCGGCTTCTTCTTTCTTTTTTTTGCCAGTCCTGGAGCTTGAACTCTGGGCCTGGGTGCTGTCCTTGAGCTTCTTTTGCTCAAGGCAAGCACTCTACTACTTAAACCACAGTGCCACCCTGAGTAATTTGTTTGAGATAAGAATCTCACAGACTTTTTTTGCCTGGGATAGCTTCCAACTGCAATCTTCAGCTCTCAGCCTCCTGAGTAGCTAGGATTACAGGCATGAGCCACCACCACACCACATTGCTTAGCTTTTTCACTCAGGCTGACACTCTTCCACTTGAGCCACATCTATACTTCTGGCTTTTTGCTGGTTAATTAGAGATACGAGTCTCACAGACCTTTCTGCCCAGGCTGGCTTTGAACCATGATCCTCAGATCTCAGTCTCCAGAGTAGCTAGGATTACAGTGGTAGGCCACTGGCACTAGTTCCTTTTTAAATTTAATTTCTTTTTTGTGCCAGTCCTACAGCTTGAACTCAGGGCCTAGGCACTGTCTGTGAGCTTTTGTACTCAAGGCTAGCATTCTACCACTTGAGCCACACCTCTACTTCTAGTTTGTTAGCGCTTAATTGAAGTTAAGAGTCTTAAGGACTTCTTCCCAAGCTGGCTTCAAACCAAGATCCTCAGATCTCAGCCTCCTACGTAGCTAGGATTACTGGTGCCCAGTTGCTCCTTCCTTCTGAACCCTTCTCCTTCTCCTTTTCCTAAAACCTCCTCATCCACTTTTCTCTCACCCTAGCTCAACACCTCCTCGTTCCCACTCCTGACACTTGTCTCTTACCAGTCTCTCCAGGGCATGTGCAGCGGCATCCTGCACACTCACAAAGAGTTGTTCTGGGGTCATTCTATTCAGAAGTCCTGCCCTGGTCAGCGTCTCCAACACTGAGGCTGTCAAGGGAGGGTATCAGCTCTGGGGCCAAAATCCATCGTGTGTTCCTCTCCCTTCCCCAAGTATTCAAATCATGTCACCAGCCCGTCCATCCTTCTTCGCACTCACCATTACATTGAGCCAGGAGAAGGTGGATCCCAGCATCCTGGCATCGACTGGCAAGCTGCAAAGACAGAGCAGACAGGTGAACTCTCAAATCAAAGGGGAGGAGTGGGATAATGACTTTTTCCCCTAGCCTACCCACAACCTCACCTGTGCCACTTCTCTGGCTCCAGCAGCATCTGCAAAGGTGACACCACTGAAGTCTAGGACCACCACTCTGACAGGGTCAGCAACTAAGATGAGAGAAAGCAGGAGATTCTTCCTGTCTCCGTGCATCATGTCCAGATCTCCATCCCACCTTGCCATCCCATCTCACCCGTATCAGATGGGCCATCTGGCTTTGGAGAGTCCTATAAGTAGAGAAAGGGGGGTCACCTCCCTCAAGACACAGGTGTGGACACGAGCCCCTTGGGCAAAGATCTGCTGCAGAACATACACCAGGCTTCAAAACCCAGAGCACCCACACTCCTCTGTGATCAAAGCCTTCACCTTGCCCTGTCCTCCAAGCCCCAGGTGCCATTCCAGGAGGCGTCGAAATTGCCCTCGGGTCCCAAAGTAGAGTGGTGTTGGATAGCTCAAGATGCAGAGACCTGGGACCTGCCGGAGCTAAAGGGTGAAAGGATCAGAGAAGCACCCCAGCCTAATTTCCCTTTCTTCTTTGGCTCAAACCTACCCACCTTGTGACTCTCTCTGAGTGGTCTGTAGAGTTCAGTCCCCTCAGCCAGTCCAAGTGCCAAACACTGCACCCTGGAGAAGGAGCTGGGGTCAGATTCCCAACTGTGCCTGGCCTAGCTAGAAAGTCACCCAACTGCCACATCTTACCCTTTCCCTTCGTCTCAACTCTGCTCATCTGTATACCTACCTCTGGGTACGGCAGACCACAGTCATCATGGAGAAGACCACGCCCACAGCCAAGCCCAGGTCCACGTTCAGGGTCACTACAGCCACCCATGTGACCACCCACACGGCCTGCAGGATGTGGATTGGAGTGGACTTCCCAGAGGAAAGACTGGGATCCAAGGGCAGTGACTACCAGGGCAAGTGATAGGAAGGGATGGTCCAGGAGAAATGAGCAAGTATGATAGAAGGAAGGGACAGGGTTGACTCAGTGGGATACACAGGAAATGTACCTTCCAACCATGTGCCAGATGGGAGGTTACAAATACTCAAGTCTGAGCTGGGGAGCTTAGTGGCGAGACACTTGCCTAATATTCATGAGACCCTGGGTTCAATCCACCCACAAAGCCTTTACACATGTATTTGGTATGAGGGGTTCACCTCACCCTTCCCCTTGTCTCTGACAAATGTAAGAGATAAGAAGAATTGAAGAATTTAGAACTAAGACTATAGTTTAGGCCCAGGACAAGGCTGGGGATGCTGGGACGCTAGATAAAGCCAATTGGGGAATTATGTTCGTATTTCTCACAAAGTCCATGCGGCTGATACGCCATAGCTGAGGAAGTTCCTGCATCTGGAAGAACATCTGGCGCATGCTGGAGATGTTGATGCAAGCCAGGACAGCCTTGGGGCAGAGAAGATGGGCTGATTACCCCCAAGGTCCTGGAAGACAGCCACACTTCCTCTGGTATTCCCACACCTCCTCTGCTCCTTACCTTGGGCAGATAGTAAAAGAAGGGCCCCAGCCACAGGAGCACCGACAAGACCACCATGCAGGAGAAGAGGCCTGCAAGCTGAAGGCAAGGAGAGACAGAAGAAAGGGAGGAAGGAAACCTCCTCCACCCCCCCTCCTGCGGGAGAGCCTGTCCCCCATACCCTCTGCCTCGTCTCAGGAAATCTCCCTCCTTCCCCACAGATAGCCCTGACTTTATCCCTCTCCTTCTTCCAGTTAAATGATGACTATTCTATTTGTCACTCTTCCCCAGATGTGTGCAGCTCAAGTTCAAGTTCTCATGTGTGTGTGTTTGTGTGTGTTGTGTATGTGTGTGTGTGTGTGCATGCGTGCCAGTTTTTTTTGGGGGGGTCCAGTCGTGGGGCCTGAACTCTGGGCCTGGGCATTATCCCTCAGCTCTTCAGCTCAAGGCTAGCGCTCTACCACCTGAGCCACAATGCCACTTCCGGCTTCTTTTCTTTTTGCTTATGTGGTGCTGAGGAATCAAACCCAGGGCCTCAGGCATGCAAGGCAAGGGCTGTACCACTGAGCCACCTTCCCAGCCCCATGAGTGCCAGTTTTAAGGCTTAAATTCAGGGTCCTGGGTACTGTCCCTAAGCTTTTTTTGCTCAAGGCTAGTGCTCTACCATTTGAGCCTCACTTCCACTTTTGGCTTTTTTCTTTTTTTTTTTTTTTGATGGTTGAGATAAGAGTCTTGTGGACTTTGCTACCTGGACTGGCTTTGAACCTTGATTCTCAGATCTCAGACTCCAGAATAGCTAGGATTATAGACATGAGCCACTGGGGTCTGGCTAAGTTCTTTAGTTTTGTAACAAACTTCCATTTTAAAAGCCATACTTGGTTCACCCTACAAGCAGGCTAACTACCTGTTTAGAGTACCAGCAAAGGAAAGAAAACAAAAAATATTGAGACTGTTAAGTAATATTTCTTTAAAAAACAAAATAAAAAACAGGGCTGGGAAGTTGGCTCAGTGGCAGAGTTCTTGGCTTGCATGCATGAGACCCTGGGTTCAATTCCTCAGGACCACATAAGCAGAAAAAAGCCAGAAGTGGCACTGTAGCTCAAGTGGTAGAGCGCTAGCCTTGAGCTGAAGAGCTGAGGGACAGCGCCCAGGCCCAGAGTTGAGCCCCCATGACCAACCAAAAAACAATAACAAAAAAAACATCCTGTAATCCTAGCTACTCAGGAAGCTGAGATCTGAGGATTGTGGTTCAAAGCCAGCCCGGACATGAAAGTCTGTGAGACTCTGATCTCCAGTTAACCACCAGAAAACCACAAAACCAGAAGTGACTCTGTGGCTCAAGAGCTAAAGCTCTTGTCTTGAGCTGAAGAGCTCAGGGACAGTTCCCAGGCCCAGAGTTCAAACCCCATGACCAACCAAAAAGAAGAAAGAAAGAAAGGAAGAAAGAAAGGAAGGAAAAAAAATGAAAAAAAACAGAATTTTACCTCTTAAATGTATAGTTTCATATGCTTTTTATCTCCAATGACATCTGAGGCACCATAATCTTTTTCAGGCTTAGTGCCTGCAAAGGTCTTCAGGGATCCTTGGTGTCTTCTATCTCTCCTCTCCTTCATGCCCTCACTCATTCCCCCTCACATTCCCACCCTCCTCTAGACTGATGCCAACTCTCCATCTGTTTCTTCACCCCCACCACCTGGCCTCAGTGTCCCATCCTTTCTCCTCACCTGTGTGTTACCACCAGCATCCGCTAGTAGGCTGGTCGTAGCCAGTGTGGCTGAGTTAGGAAAGCAAGAGAAGAGGGAGGAAACAAGGTTGGAGACACCATGGGCCAAGAGTTCCTGGAGGGATGCAGTGAGTAGAAGAGGAATGAGACACAGGCACGGGGGAGTATGGTTATGGGATTATCTTCTGAATGAGTCTGGGGATGGGGTGTCCACAGTCGTAGTCTTACCTGGTTTGGATCAATCGTGTAGTTATACTTGTCTGCATAGATGGAGGCCAGAGAGGTGGACACAGCAAAAGTAACCAGTGCTATGGGTAGAGAGTCAGCCAGAATCCTGGGCAGCTCCACCATGCTGGGGAGAAGGGGTTGGGGAAATCTGGAAGAAGGAAGAATCCACAGTGAGGGTGGGCTGGGTGCAACAAGGAAGGAAGGGAAGATAGGGTGGGGCAGGACAAGAGGGAATGTTTTAGGAGACACCGGGAAGAGCACAAGGCTGTTTTTTTCTTTCTCTCTTACCCTTCAGGCAACAGCCCTACTACTTGGACATTATATCTTGTGTCCAGGGAAGAGGTGTAGCACAGCACAGAGGCCAAAAGCACCTGGAGAAAAGAACACATTAGGATCTAGGAGAGGATGAGGATCTCTGGGAAAGGCTAGAAAGGGCTCAACATGAAAGAGCATCCCAATGTAGGTGGCCTTTGAAACCCAGCAATTGGTGAAGCTATGGTGTATTTAAGAGGGGCGTGTGACTTTGGAAAGCAGTCTGGAGGGTCCTTAGAAAGCTAAAGATTGACCTCCCTTACGACCCAGTCATACCACTTCTAGGCATCTACCCTGAACAACAGG